CCATGGAGTGCATTATTATTAAGGTCAAGTTTAGGTTGAGATTGAGGTCGAATTCATCAGGTAGATGCATAAAATAACTGTCAAAAATTGGTGCTACTTAAGTTATTTTTGTTATATTTTAATATTTTTTTTCTGATAAATATTTTAATACAATCGAACACCATAAACTAAAAAAATATTTTACATCCAAACAAACATAACCCCCAATCCATTATTGCCACATGTACGTGGTTCTATAAATGTATGTTGGATTGTGGATTTCGGTGTATGTCTCTTTTCAACCGTAGATGGGTTTTTATCTTCTTTAGTATCTTTGCTATTTCAATCAAAATCTGATAATAGATAAATGCTGTAATTTGAAAAATTAAAATTGCCTTAGTTGTTCATATAAATTTCAGGTAATATACAACATTATAGATGCAAATTTACTTCTTGGTTGAGAAGAAGTGGTAAGGTTACAAGAAAAAGCTTATTTGTTGAGATTACTTTCCGTCAAAATAAATAAATAAATAAAAATATTACAACTATTAGGAAGGAATTATTCTATTTTCTTGTATAATAGTAATAATAGAAGAACTCTAACACTGAAGACCTATTTGTTTGATTTGTAATTTTAAAAATAATTTTTAATGATTCAAATAACAATCTTTTAAAATTCTTTAAAAAAAAAAATTCAATTTTCAAAGAATTGAAAATTATCTCTATCACAAATCAAACAATCTCTAAATAACATTATTATTATTTTTTATTTTTGTCTATATAATGGCTTAAAGTTTATACTTTCAAGCGTGATATATGAACTACTTTCGAAAAAGTAATGGGTCCATGGGATGGGACTTGATCCTTTTGTCCTATTTTATAAAAATATTTTGTTACGATATCAACCTTTAATAATGGGAAAGCAATATACCCATTTTATTTTTAAATAAAATGACATTATTGTCCCTAAATTTTGTAATGTGAATATAAGAATTAGGGGCATTTGACACTAGGGGAAGCTACAAATATACACTAAACAATTTTGAAATCACAAAGTTTAAAATAAATTCATAAAGAAATTAGTTGCATCAATAAATCTTATTACATGCATAAGCCCAATCTCAAAAGAAAATTAAAACTAAAAATAAAGTTTTTTTGATAAATCTAATTAATGAAGATTATTAAATATAAAAATTGAAAGCATTATTCATTTAAACAACGAACGAAAATTTTAAAATAATCAACAATCATTTCTCTAAAAAAAAAAAAGAAAAATTATGTCATCATGCTAGTTTGGCCTTTTAACTATTCAAACCAATTATATAGGTTTAAGAAACAGACTGAAGTACATTTATCAATGTGAAATTTCTTTCCGGTAAAAATAAAATAAAATATGAACAAGCACACAGCTTCCAAACCATTATTGCCACGTGTTCAACGGTAGATATTCTTGTCATCTTTTCTTCTGCAATCAAAATCTCACGGTGGGTCCCTAAATTTCTAACTTCTTTTTCACGTTGGGTCGCTTCACAAGGTCTAGTCAAAAAAGTTACACGTTCAATTTCATCGGTGAATGTCTCTTTTGCGGTGGATAGATTATTGGTGCAACCCACTATATACTCTAGAACAAACATGGTGTCCAGTCTGTAGTGTTGGGTCAATGGAGTGCATTATTGGTGTCTGTCATGTATATTTTAAACTTTGTGATTAATGTTTATTTTTGAGAGGTCCACTGGCAAATAATCCAAAGTAACTCGACTTTTTTTTTTTTTTATAAAATAAATTATAAAAAATACCACTCTATTTTAGCATTTTTTTTTTTTATAAAAATATCATTTAAATTTTCAAAAAAGTGCATGTCAATCTCTCTATTGTGTTTTACCTTCAATTTGGTAGTGCAGTTTATTAGTATTATTTTTTTCTGTGTTTTTTTAGGCTTGATATGAAAACTTATAAAAGCAAAGTAATATCCACACTGCAAATATTTGATAAATGCACTTTAATTTTAGGTTAAATAACATCATTAACCATAAATTTATAATTAAGTGCATGGGAATTAAGAACACTTTTATTTGCTTAAAAAAAGAAAAAAAAAATATATTAGAGTGTAATTTATCAGTGAATATAATCTCTCTAACAAAAATAAAACAAATAAATATATATATATGTGTGTGTGTGTGTGTGTATGCGAAAATTCCATAGTTTCAAATGCATTATTGGCTTGTGTGGTTCCATAAGTTAGTCAATGTAAGGCCAAAATGTCAAATGTTTGTGGCAGCTGAACTGTCGATTTTGATAGAAAAGAGGAAATGACATGCATCATTCAGCTGAACTTGAATGTGAATGTGAATGTGAATGTGAATGTGAATGCATCATCCAAACAGCTTTCAGTGTTTGTCCCTTTCCTACAGTAGGTAGGTAGATTATTGTGCAGAAGCCTGTTCGATTTTTCTCTTTAAAAGTATTTGATCCCTAAATTTCATCACTTTAGAGAAGATGAGAATATCTTATGATTATTTGAGCTAATGCATAAAGGGAATTCTAGTTAAATGTGATAGTTGGGACTTCTTAAAAATTTAATTTTCTTTTCTTTTGTTTTGGATAGAATATTTCTCTTTGAGTTTAAGATATTCTTCAATATATTTAACATTACGAGTTAGTATTTTCACGTGTTAATAATTTTATTGAGATGGTTGATCAACTATCTAGTCTATCTTTTTTATTCATTCAAAAAAAAAAAATATATATATATATATATATATACACCTAACTAATTTATACTTTTAACGTTTTTAGCCACGTCAATCATGGATTGCTGGCTCATTTGTTTGTATAATCGGCTTGAATTTTGACTTGTACTCAAGTTATACTCTTTATGTGTTAAAAAATAAAAAAATTTAACTAATTTATACTTTTATCGTTTTTAGCGATGTCAAGTAGAGATTGTTGGCTCATTTGTTTGTCTAATTGGCTTGAATTTTACTTATACTCAAGTTCTACACTTTATGTGTTTAGAAAATTAATCTTGAAGCTTAATTTCCGATAATAACCCAGTTTGGTACTTGAATTAGCTAGTAAAACTTATAATTGATTATATTTTCTTTTTTATATTTTAGTATGTTTAATCATTGTAATAAAATTTTCAAGATTACAAAAAAGAAAATATATATATATATATAATTGATTCCTTTGTGAACTTTATGCCATTCATTGTACCAAGGATCCAATATCCGGAGTAAAAAATTCGCGCAAAAATTTATTGTGATTCCCACTGCCTAATTTGGTCATTCGCCTCTCATCTTAACCATAAAAGATCAAATAAAAATAAAAATAAAAATAAAAAACAGAACAATGTGGGTTGCTTTACGCTAAATGGTTGTAAAAACACTTGAGAGGGTGTACAAGTGTAACCTGCTTATTTATTAAATTTTACTTTTTTTTTTATCATGATAAAACAAAAACAATTATGAAATAAAACATTTAAATGCAAGTAGATAAACGCAAGAGTAAAAGATGAGCATCAAATTTTGTTGGTGAAAATTTTTGTTGGAAGAAATTTAACCAATCGGGATGAAAACCACGAAGTGATCGTGATTTATTAGAAAACTTGTTAAAATCCATGATTCAGACAATTGCATCTCACAATAATAACCACAACTTAATTTAATCACAAAACAATATTTGAAATATTTATCATCATCATCATAAACTATTTAAAAAATTTCCCTTCTAATGTGTGCATAAGTTCAATACACTTGCCCGTTATTGTCGTGTCCTGATTTTGTATTCATGTTCATATTCTATTTTATTTTATTTTTACTATTTTTATTTGTGTTGTTAGAGTGAGAATTCAACATTTGAAATATTTTCCATGAAGCCCTTACTAAGAGTACTTTGCAAATTGGAGCTGAATATGAATTATTCTTATAGCACAAATGTTTGTATTTGCTTTAATTTATAGTAAATGAATCACCGCTTGTGATTTGAAATAAATATGACTGTCCAAAATTGTAGTATTGCTTAGTTTATGCGACCGAAAAACATAAATAAATGCTGTAATTCGGGAAATTATAAGTTTGTTGGTAGTTCTTGGATTTATTAACTTGGCATATGCTTTTGTCCTCCCTCCAGGTAAGTTTCCTTTGCTTGGGTCCATGGACTTGGTCGCATTTTTGGGGTGTGTGTGTGTGTGGAATCCATTGATGTCTCCAACTTGCTTTTCATGATGGTATTTCTTTTCATAATTCAAAGAAGCTTTACTTTGTCCTTTTTTATTTTTGACAGGTACTTGGATGGTAAATTGCAAACTTTTGCCAAATTTTCCATATACCGGACAAAATAAACACACAATCTCTATCAGTGTCTCAATTTAAGCGCAAAAAGATCAAAAATAAAAAAAAAATAAAAAAATAGAATGTCACTCGTGTATATATATATATCACGGTTCACGGTCGCAGTTGCGGTATAACTGTGAATATTGATATAAATTAGCGGAATTGAATAGTTTATGAGGGTGTGCAACAATATCGGATCTTTAAAAAGAAATTACGAACCCGATAATACGTTGTGGATAAGTTGATAAAGTACAATAAAGTACACACCTCAGTTAAACTTTTAACCAGTGGTTCTATTTTATAAAGTACAATAACACTCTTTCAAGTTTGTCAAAAAGACATATAGACGAAACTTAGCCTATTTTGGGACAGCCCCTCAAATTTAATACGATCACCAAAGACACCCAACAGTAATTAATTAATATTTTTGCCATTTGATTTTTATTTTTGAATAACTACACCCCTTTTGAATTACCTTTTTAACCTCCACTTGATTTAGTATTTGTAGACCAATTTATTTCCTTCTCTCCCCTCAGCAACCTCAGCAACCTTACCACCACACAACTTATCTCTTTCATTCATTCATTGGCGTCATATTGCAACCAATACTTAATCTTTTCCGGTTGGACGTTGTTCTTTGTTGGTTTGATCCCTAAAGCTTACTGTTTTTGGTCTCTGAAGGTAACTATTCAGATTAAGGTTTTGGACCTCTCTGATTTTTAATTTCTGTTTGGCTCACTCTACTATGTTTTTGGCTCAATTTGTATATGATTTACCTTCATTTTTGGCTCAATTTGTACATGAAGCTCCTTGGTTTGAATTGAAAAATCATGATTATTTGTCAGAATTAAAATGCAACAACTTTGATCTGAACACCCAATGAAGGTTTTTTGTTTTTTTTCTTTTTGTAACACTTGAATCCAAACACCCAATCACGCACACCCAAACACCACCTAATTTCCCAAAAATCCCTAAACCACTCTCTCTCTCTCTATACACACACACACACAAGCCCACTGTCTCTCAATCTAAAACTCAGAATATACACACACCATCTCTCTATCAAAAATTCAGAATATAATATATATATATATATATATATATATATATATAGTATCTCTATGTGTCTGTCGCCACTCTCTGTATATGTGAGTGTATATATATATATATCTGCAGCCTCTCTCCTTCTATATAATATTGGTGGTTGCCAATGGAAGAAAAAATTTATAGTAGTCCTCACAAAAAATAACAGATCAACGTACATACAGAAACAAATCACAAAAAGAAAAAGAAAAAGAAAAAGAAAAAGAAAAAGAAATATATATATATATATATATATATATATATATATATAGATGATGGTGAGTGAGTATGACGGATTTATAAATTATTAAACCCTTTTTTCTTTGCCCATCTAGACAAAAGATAAGCTTTAGAGAGAGAGAAGAGTGTTTGTGGAGAGGCCATGAAGTTGGAGAACCAGAGGGTGGTAATGACAGCTGACTGTGGAAATGGGTGTGAGGGAAGAAGACGAAGGAGTGGAAGTCTGTAGAGAGAGATGGAAGAGGGTAGTTTGGTCCTTTAATTATTTTGATATTTTATAATTAAAATTAATAAAATAATAAAGGATAAAATGAACTTTTCACCCTTAATTATCTTTAAATAATTGAGTTTTTACAATTCTTTGACACTCAGCTATCCTACCTCAACCATACTGCGTCAAAAGTAATGCTATTGAGTTCCGTTCGTGTAAACAATTGGGTTTCCTCCATCAGTTCGCTACGATTTCACAGTATATAAAGATTTGAATTGTGAATTTATATCTTTCTTTCATTTCCTTTCACATGTGGTCTCTCAATCTAGCTCAAGACCCTTCTTCTTTTGCATTTCCTACTCTCTCTTCTCGGAATCTATACTAACTATTCAACTGTTGTTTTGCAGACACAACTTCTTTATTTGTTGATTGTCATATAACCCTAGAATTCGGAATCTCCACTAGGTAATCTGTTTTTTCTTTTTTTTTTTTCTTTTTTTTTTTTCGTGTAGAGTTCTAAAAATATCATTCATTGCTTGCTTTTGTAATTTGATTTTAAATTTCCTATATTACAATTGTACTGGAGATAGCATTTTTTTTTTTAACTACCATAGTGTCGGCATTTTTTTTTGTTAGAGAGCCTGATCCGGAATACATATAATTTTCTTTTATCCTTTATAAAATGATATATTTGGCTATAAATATCTCTACTAATATAACCTTGTCTATATCACAATTTTTAAATGTTGATCTTAAGTTATTTTTCCCTTTTATATGTTGAAGATACAAGATTTCGTTTCTTTTCTTTCTCTCTCTCTACCCTTCTTTTTTCCACTTTCCACCTGTAATGGTCTATTTATAGACCATCACCCTTATTGTAGTTAACCAATTACATTGGGCATATATTCGAAAGCTTTCTTCCTTCTGGGTTTGGTCTTCCAATGGGCTTGACCTTCCTCGGTGGATCCCCCAGGTTCGACCCATTCCAGGGCGCTTTGGCATGGATCTTACTTCAATCATTCGACCCAATCTCGTTCCCGCGAACCATATCCGGCCCATGCCACTTGCCGCATCCTCAACTGCCCCCATAATTACCCCTTATTGATTAGGTGGTAATTATTAAAGGCTGCTAATGATGACCTGACGGCTCGAGGAGATCGTGTGGGAGAATGGACAGTTAGATCTAGGGGTCGGCGTTTCGAGATTCAAAAAGACAACCCATCGCTTTCCTGACTCCTCGGCTCTTGGGCTCTCCTCGTCTTTATAAGCTCCATTGATTCTCCATCGATCCTTTTTACCGTCTCCATCTCACCTTTTGCTGTTTGAATCCTCTCCGGCGATCTCTTGCGAAAGATCTTCCTTTCAGTGGCTTTGCAATACTCTCTGCCGTTTTCACTCTCTAAGGTTAGTTTCATTTGCATTTTTCTTTTGGAAGACTTCTTTCTCCTCCCCGGAATCCTCATTCACTCTTACCATGACAGTAGATCAAGACGTTCTTCGCATGAAACTTCACCTTCCTGACGATGTAGAAATTAGAAACTGCCCCTGAGAAGTGAATATTAGAACCGGTGCTGGCCTTCTTCCCAGCAAGGTCCTATTTTCACTCCTCCATCTCAATCTCTTTAGATTTCCTTTACATTCTTTCTTTTGCTATGTTTTTAACAAGCTAAATCTCTCCCCTTTACAAGTAAACCCCAATTTCCTAGGATTTTATCCGTTATGCTACTCCTGATTCGTGACAGAGGTCTGGATCTGGACCTCGTAGATCTTTTCCTCTGTTACAAAGTCAGCAAGATCAGAACTGACGAACCGTTTTACCACCTTTTCCCCATTGAGAAGAGGTCCATCTGCACGGATAAAATCAAATCCGAGAAGGGTTGGAGGAAAAACATTATTGGGGTTAGGGGGGCCTGGTTCTCTCCAGCTGCAGAGGATTTCCCTATCCCGAGCGCTTTCGGAGAGTGCTCTGTCTCGTTTTACAAGAAATATAAAAACCATAAGAGTGACTGTCCTTGCGAGATTTGCACTCCTCGTTTTTGTACTTTCTTGTGCCATTTCTTAGGCATTCCTTGTGATGACTTGAGTTACAGTGTGTGCAGGGATAGGGATAACTACTTGAAGCGGTACGTTCTGACCAACGTTCCCTCTTGCTCGGACCTTCTCACCTCAGATAATCTCCTTGATATCTCAGTCCTCGGCAAGACAATGAGCCAACTCCAGATCCCTTCCTTCGGCAGGAAGAAAACTGCCCCCAGGCCCGCTACCACCCCTGCATCAAATTCCTCCCCGGCTTCAGCATCTTCCTCCGCTACCCTTTCTGATACCACTCCTGTGATACCCCTCGGATCCGAGACACGGGTTGATTAGGCCCAGGCCCAAATCCGAGAGATATCAAACAATTAATATATTAAAACGAACACGGAATACAAAAGTGATTAAAGAGAAAAAATTTAAGCTGAAAGAAACTAAAATAAATCCTCAAATATAAATATTTAAACCTTGACAATCCAAACTCCATAAGTTTAACAACTCGGGAATCCATCTCTAGTGGACCCCTAATAAAATCCCAAACTGCATGGAAGAAAACTGAAGATAAAATCCAAATCTAATATCTGGAAAGAAGTCCTACGTTGTCGGTAGAATAGAAGTCTGTATCTGCTCTGCACGATCAAACTCTAACCCTGGAACTGACGAGTACCTGAAAAATATATGGGTGGGTCAGGCCCACATGCAAATCCTGATCTACGACAATCCAAACAGAAATCCGATACGCAGATACATACTAGAAAGAATCAACAATATCTAGAATAGTCCATATATGTATAAGTACACACTATAGGACGCTCACTAGTCCAAAAAGGTCTGTCTCAGCCTGAATAGAGATACCATGCAAATCGCACATACTGTGGTCATGTGTATCTAGACCTACTAGGGAACAACACCTCTGTCCAGCTATCCATCCTAGGCAATATACGCACCCCAACCATGGTCCTGAGACTCAAGCTCATACCATGGTACATATAATAAATATATAAAGTCCGTGTCCTTCTATTACAAAATATCAACCATCTGAAAAGTGGTTTGATAAATGTAAAGCAAATCCATCCTGAAAACCATATTAAGTCATTCAATTATTTGATGATATGACACAAGTAGGTGATGGACTTAACTCATAGGGTTAATCCATACCTTAATCCAAATTAGGTAGGATTTAGTGTTTGACTAATCCATACCTAGTATGTCACCGTCCCATACCGGTACATACAAATTCTCCATATAGCATAGTTATTAAAACAATACTATATAATCAACAACCATCCTCCAGTATATGCATTGGTATAAATTCATACATATATCAATATTAGGTATTCACTACAGAATCTAAATATCATGCTCCAATCATTTAAACAGCTAGAATAAGACATAGCATTTGAATCCTCCAAAACAGCCAATAAATTGATACATATTAAACAAGTTAAATGTCAATTTAAATTCAACTAAGTATAAATAAATATAATTAATTTACCCTACTTATAACACAGTAACAATATAGGGTTATATATAATTGAATTATATATAAAAACTTTGCCAAGTTCCAGTTATATAATCCTAGCAAAAACAGTGCAACGTATAGCCATTATTTGATCTGTTCATTGCTCTTACCCTTAAACCATTATGGTATTAAATGTTTTCAACACTTATTTAAGTCCCTAACATTTAATTACATCCCACAGTATCATTTAAACAGCCTTAGAAAACACTGTACAGCCAAACAGCCCCTATAACTCGTTTCTGGGCAATTCAAGAAAGAGCAGGCTCAATTAAAACATTGAGCCTGCTCTAAATTTAGGTTAGAACCGGCTCCTTCAGCATTGAGCCGGCTCCATCTTCCTAATAGAGCCGGCTCCATCCTCTTTGAGCCGGCTCTAAGGTGATTTTAGAGCCTGCTCCTTCTCCGTTGCAGTCTACGTCCGTTCTAGCTTCATCTTCTTCAACTCCGGTGATTACAGAGCCTCTGTGGTGTGTTCTAATTCTTATTCTAGGTTCAACCTTAGTCCTAAATAAGTTTAAGCCACTGAGTTCTAATCCTAACATGTGTAGGAACACAAGTTTCAAAGCCCCGTTTACAGAACCTCTGTTAGCAAATCCTAAGCAAGTTGCAACAGATTTAATTCAGACAAATTTGGTGCAATTAAATTCTATTTTAAACACTTGTTTTGGAGTTCAAATTCAGTCGTAGATTAGTTAACAAACAATGATATACAATCAAAACTTAAATTGAAACACAAGTTGATTCACAGCGGCAGCAAGGTTACAAGTTAATTTTCCTAAAGCAACCAAGAACAGATTAATACCATCAATTTAATTACTGATTAAACATGCATAATAGATATAATTAAGCCTTAGTATAATCCCTGGAGTCTTCCTAGTCATGCACAGAACACGAATTAACGGGAGAGAGAAGAACAGAACTTGCCTTGAGACTTTGGTTTAAAAACCCCCAACTGTTGTCTCTATCTTCTTTGGCTACCTTGGTTGTATCAAACAGCCTCTGCTGCTCCTAATTCAGTCCCGAACTCCTCCTTGAATCACTCAAGTTCACTATGTATTTCCTCTCAATCTTTCTCTCTATTTTCTCTCTATCACACTGTATACGTGATTATGGTGAATATGGTTTTTATTTGTAACCCTAAATCAATGTATAAACAATATATATATAGACTCTACAGAAACCCTAAGTCCATACAGATATCACTCGGCCCATAGGTAATCCTAGGTTATAACAATGTCGGCTATGATAAAACCTAAAACCCTAAGTTACAATTAATGCATTTAAAACACATTAAACCAATTAACATAAATAAATAAATAAACAATTAAAACAATCAAATTAAAACTAAAAATAAAACATTTAATTCAAATAAAATCAACTAATAACAATTAAATTAAACAATATCAAGTAGTTCAAATAAGTTCAGATAAAATCAAATAACACACCAATTAATACACCAATTAATGAAAATACACACTTAAACAATTTAAAAATGCAATAAAATAATTAATAAAAATATCAGAATTATCCTTTTGAATTTAGGGGTATTACAACTCCTTCCACCGATCCATCCGTGACGGCTGCTGACCCGGTCGCTAACACGGCGACTGCCAGTCCGAACGTTACCCCCTCTGTCAACAATCCTCCTGGTTCTACCACTGCTTCCGCACGGGAGAAGGCCAGAGGAAAAAGACATCAACCTGACAGTGCCCTCAACATGGATGACGTTCCCTTGTCTCAGAGGGTTAGGCCCTCTGGGCCGAATGTGGTATCCCTGGCGAGACCTCCTCAAGCTAGGCCCCCCACCCCTTCTGGGCATGCCTCCGCTTCAGGAACGGCGCCATGGAGCCCTCGCTTCATTCGAACAGACGGATCGTCTGTGAAACCGACCGAGACTATGTTCAAAGATGGT